AAACTGAAAACCGACATAATCCTACTTAACGAAACCCACGTAAATCCCTCTGCCAGACTTCACATTCCTAACTTTTTTACGTACAGGAACGACCTGCCGCCCGTGCGGGGCTCGCCCGCCCACGGAGGCACGGCCGTTCTCGTCAACCGACGTATCGTCCACCAACCAGTTACCCTAAACACAACCATCCAAACCTCTTCCATCCTCGTACAACTAAACGGCCACGAAGTACTTATTTCAGCCGTATACAAACCACCCGGAACCCTACTAACGACAAACGACCTCGACCTTTTGACAAAGAGTGCCGAATGGCAAATTTCGGCAGGCGACTTCAACGCCAAACATCCGCTGTGGTATAGCCACACGACTAACGCTGCCGGCCGTGTCCTCTTTGACCACGCACAACAATCGGACTACTCTGTAACTGCTCCCTCTTCTCCCACACATTTCCCGACATGCACACGATACAGACCTGACATACTCGACATCGCCCTCGTACGACTACCCTATCAAACCCAAATCATTAACCTCAACGAACTATCTTCCGACCACAACCCCATTCTTCTAGATACACTCTGCACTCCGATCTCTTCTTCTCCCCCGGTTACGAATCGGTTTATTAACTGGAAAAAATACACGACAACTCTCGCGAACTTACCGAACTCAACCACTCAACCGACCAACGACCGTGAGTCTATCGACCTGGCAATCGAAAACCTCACAAAACATATCCAACAAGCGGTTGAATCCAGCGTATACGTACCGACACGCAAACACCCGTCCACTGTAGTACCAGACTACATTAAACTGGAAATACAAGACAAAAACCGTATACGCCGCGAATGGCAAATAAACCGCGACCCGACAATTAAACGACAACTAAACGCCAAAATATCTCTCATACGTACCTTACTCGCAACGCACAATACTGACCAATGGGACATCTTTCTTAACTCACTAGACCACCAAGACGGTTCAATATACAAACTCAACAAATGTCTCTTACACAAACGTCCAGCATCTCACCCACTAACCGGCCCCGACGGCCTAGTTTTTCCGGCCAACGAACGAGCAGAGCTGATAGCCGACTCGCTCGAACGTCAATTTCAAACAAACCCCGGCCCCGACTTACCAGACGTAACCGCTCACTCCCAGTACCTACAAGGCCTTGACATCACCCGATCTAACCTCTTTACCACTCCCGGCCAGATACAAGACATAATTCGCAACCTTCGCAAAAAGAAAGCCCCTGGTGACGACCTCATCACCAACACGGCTCTTAAATTCCTACCGAACAACGTTATACTGTCCCTTACTCGGATCATCAACAGCGCCTTCAGAATCTGCTACTTTCCCCTTGCCTGGAAAAAAGCAGTCATCATCTCCATTCCCAAACCAGGCAAAGACCATAAACAACCCGAAAACTATAGACCAATCGCCCTCCTCTCCTCCCTGTCCAAAATTTACGAACGACTCATCCTCACCCACCTACAAGACAAACTCAAAAACAAAATCCGTCCCGAACAGTTCGCCTTCAGACCCGAACACTCGACCACACTACAACTGACCAAACTCACCCACCAACTGAGCGAAAACTTTAACAACGACTTAAACACTGCTTCCGTCTTCCTCGACGTGGAGAAAGCATTCGACCGCGTCTGGCACGAAGGCCTACTCTACAAACTCTCCAAACTCAACATCTCGTTAGAAATCGTAAAAATCATCCAATCCTTTCTCACCGACCGTACTTTTACCACTAAAATTGAACACTCCTTCTCTACTACCAGACACGTACTCGCAGGAGTCCCTCAGGGCTCCTGTCTCTCACCGACGCTATACTTGACGTACATTAACGACATTCCAACGACTCCTAAAGCCAACCTCTCACTCTTCGCTGACGACACGATGTTCTTTACTAGTAATAAAAACCCCAAACGTGCAACCATACAACTACAACACCAACTCAACCTCGCGTCCAACTGGTTCCACAGGTGGCGAATCAAAATAAACCCGAACAAAACAGTAGGCGTCCTCTTCGGGCGTTCTAATACAACCCACATTCCACCTCTAACCATCGATAACCAACCCGTTAACTGGTCAAAACAGGCCAAATACTTAGGCGTCACGATTGGACGTAAACTTACATTCAACCAACACATTCAAGACGTAACCAAAAAAAGCTACCCGCGTCCGTGGTATGCTTTACCCCTTACTTAACCGTACTAGTCCCGTTCCGCTGAAAACAAAACTTAACATACTTAAACTCTACGTGACCCCTATACTTACATATGCTGGCTCTTCCTGGGCACCCTTTATCGGCCCCTCCCATTGGAGACGTATTGAATCCGTCCAAAACATCGGCATACGCACGATAACTGGTATGCCCACTATCGTTAGAAACTCGGTCCTTTTAAAATCAGCCAACTTCAAATCTATCCAAAATTCCATTTGCTCTCAATCAAAAACAATGTTCTACAATAACTCTTTTTCCGAATACGATCATATCCGCCTCTTAGGTAAAACCCACTCCCCTCCAACCACCAAACGTTTACTCAAACCATACCCATTAAATTGGACTGACTTACATAACTGAACCTACCAATCAACCCCAAAATCCATCCACTAGTAGAGGCACAAGCCTGGAATAGTAAACGGCATAGCCACCCCTCCCAAAGCAAAGCAAAGCAAAGCAAAAATTATGTTTATGTCGTATGAGTGAGAGTCAATGTTTAAATTTAATTTTGGCATTAATTCAAGTATTATTTTATATCACAACCGCGTAAGAAAAAAATTAGTTAACCCAACCTAAATTTTCCGTACTGCCACCAGAGGGCACTTTCAAGAATTTTTTTTTTTCCTTGACATGGTCGAGACAGGTGATTTCGTGGCGAGTGCTTCGTGAACGTAAACTGCTTGCCATGTGGGAGGTGTAAAAATAAAATTGTTGCTGCTTTTTTTCTTTTTATCTTACAGTTATTGTAAGTTTTTTCTCGACCTTGTAGATAATGTCACGAGCAAACATTCAAGATGCGATTAATGCCGTCACAATGGGTATCTATTCCTGTGGACAGACAGCAAGGAATTATAATGTACCGGAGACAACCCTTAGGGACCTTATAAAGAAGTTGGGCATTGTTCCCCCAAAAGTAAGTTTTATTTGTCTTTTTTTTCAATAACTGGTTTTATAACTGTGTTTCTATAACATTTTTAGGCATCTCGAGGTTATGTCAAGGCGGATGCAAATCCGAGTTTGAAGGAGAATGAGGAGAAAAAATATAACGTTAGTTTAGCCTCACGTCATGCAAACGTACCACGTACTACGCTTAGAAATGATTTGAAAAACTATGATAAAATCAAACGTGAGTATTGCAATTAACGTGCTTATTTAACGGATAAATCGTTGAGTTATATGTTTTTGTAAACATTTTAGAGTGTCTTCCACCGGCGCCCAAACAGGCCAAACCGTCGGCCAATCCGTCTGCTGAACCGTCTACCGAACTGTCTGCCGAATCGTCGGCCAAACCGTCTGCTGAACCGTCTACCGAACTGTCTGCTGAATCGTCTGCTGAACCGTCTACCGAACTGTCTGCCGAATCGTCTGCTGAACCGTCTGCCGAATCGTCGGCCAAACCGTCTGCTGATCCGTCTACCGAACTGTCTGCCAAACCGTCTGCCGAACCGTTGCCTGAGAGAAATTTAGTCGTAAAAAGTAACGTGATTAATAATTTATAATGATTAATTGTTTGTGTAATAAAATATAATCGCTTATTGATTTTGACTTTCTTAGTTGTGTCGAAATTCAAGGGCAGGAAATGCAGATAAGTGAAAGTCAAGCGGTTGGTGGAACTACACAACAGGTCTGCCTACTATCCGAAAAGGGCAGCTATGGGTATAATAGCATTTAATTCTAATTTTTGGCCTTATGCAATAAGTTAATGAAATATTTTACAGTTGAAAAACCGATGGATTGTGATGTTGGTGTTGGGGAGCCCGAGGTTGAGGAAGTCATCGAGGAAGTCATTTCCATCGAGACCCCAGTGCCGATCAACACTCATCAACGTTTTTTGATGGATGACGATTGTTTTTCTCAAGATTTATCATTTACACCCATGATGGTGGATGGCGAGGAAGTACTTATGGTGAACACCGAAAACCGTAAGTGTTATCTTCATTACATTTTTTATACATTTTATAATAACGTATTAATTTACAGCCACTAAACAGCCCCAAAAAGCAGACGATATTTTTAAGTCATCTTATGACGTACACGAGTTTGAAGAAGACCCACAGGGTATGTACCATTTTTACTCACCTAACGAGTTTACGATTTTTATTTAACCATAACGTTTCAGAATTGGAAAATTGGAAGTTAGTACCAGGTACGTCTAGAGTGAGGACACTGTCGCTGAATGGGTCGTCATTCGACCGATGTGAGTGTTATTATCTTCATTACATTTTTTGTACATTTTAAAATAACGTATTGATTAACAACTATTGAAGGGCCGCTAAGAGTCAACGATGTCTTCACGCCATCACCATCTCCTAAATGCAGATTCCAGTTGGAAGAAGGCGAACCGGGTATGTACCGTTTTTACTCACCTAACGAGTTTACGATTTTTATTTAACCATAACGTTTCAGAATTGGAAAATTGGAAGTTAGTACCCGGCACGTCTAGAGTGAAGACACCGTCACCACCGTACGCTGATTTACGGTCACCGTCGCCGACTGGGTCGTCGGTCGTCCGATGTGAGTGTTATTGAAATCAGGTGTGTGGTGTTTTGTTTAATTAATATCGATATTTTTCCACAGCACCGAGCCCGTTGATATTCCGAAAAACCAGGCTGAATGTTTCGGAAAAAGCCAACAGCCGGATAACACAACGCGTAAGTAACTTTTGCACAACATCATACATTACCTCCTAGCTATAAACTTATGGTATCGTTTTTCGCAGCTGATAAAGTACTGTCCGTTCTGCCGTTACACGACTGACGACAATAAAATGACAAGACACATTGGAATAAAACACGCGAAACATCTGCGACGACCGGTAAAAACGAGCCTAAATGGCATGGGCAAAATATTTGGCTCGGAGTCCAGGCGATCCGTGTCCTTGGTGCCTATGTCCGTCATTAAAGAACAGTTGGGTCCTTATTGGGAAGATAGATGTTATAGGCAAATCGCTTTCAAGTAATTATAGATTTATATAAATATTGAATCTGAAAATATTTGTATTTAACCATGTGTTCCATTTCAACATTTTTAGACTGTGCGTCATGGGAAGGCTCAAGGTGTACGGCGAGTCGTGGGACCTCCCGGGGAGCCCAACCATCCCTAACTCGTTTGCAGATTTTATTGTAGAGGAGGAGCCGTCATCACGGATACCACCCAAAATCCCTCGCGTGTGGACGAATCGTTAAGATTTACGACGATATAAATAAGATCTACAAGCTGCAGGAAACAAAGAGCCAGCTTTCAGCGTGCGTCTTCCGGAGAATGGTCGAGAGCGAGTCCAGGGGGCACGACAGCGCGACTTGCAGCGGGGTAGCGAAAGCCTTGCAGCACGACCCGGCTACCGCGCTGCGATACTACCAGGTGCCGGACGCGAACGAGGCCATTCGAAGGCAGGCGCACATCGACGTCGTCGACCACACGGCGTTGTTTCAGGACAAGGTGTTTGAAGAGTGAGTAAATACATCGAGACCGTGGCGGCGGTGGAACAAGCAGTTCCCGTCACTGACAATGGCCTGAACATCAGCACCGCTGTTTCGGACATTTCTACAGGAGCAACCCAAGCAAGCCCAGCTACCCAGAGCAACGATTCCCCGTGAGTATAATCTTCCGGACCAACCGGCGCGTCCACCCGGCGATTGCCCGACGGTCATCCGATTTCATTATTCATTCATTTTGTTCGCAGATCCGTGAAAAAAATTCGCAAGGGGCTCACCGATGAGGGACTGCAACAGCAGTTGCCGAGTGATCACCCGCTCCTGAAACTACACCGACGAAGCCTTATTTTGAGCCACGGTGCCGATTCCACCGCTTCAAAAAATTACCTGGCAAACGTGGCCAGGGTGCTGTACCACGTGTCGGCGTGGCTCCGTGACCGGAAAACGCCACCTGGCCACTGGTCGGACCTCCTGACGTGCCCAGTCGACCCGTATGTCGACTACTTGGAGAAGTGAGTGCGAGGCGTCGGAAGAATTTTGGGTTTTTTTTATTTCTTCGTTTTTTATTTCTTCGCAGGAGAGAGAAACTCGGCCAAACTATAGCGACCTCAATAAACTACCTAAAAAACCTCTGCACACTGTTCGACATGGCAATCACCAGTTACTCGATTGAGGATCGGTCTTTCCCAACGACGTTCGAGTTACTGCCATGTCCAACAGTATTGAACGAGATCAAATTTTGAAATCCAAGCTGAACTTGGTATATAAAAACAAGAACAAAATACAACCACAGGAGTTGTTCACTAGAAAAACTGGCGAGGCCGACACTCTGCCGGGGTACGCACCTGGACGTAGATGTGTCCTCTGAAGCTGGGGCGTCGGCAAGACAGAGAATGGTGAGTCACGCTTCGTCGCCAGTCCAGACGGTCCACGAAGAAAACCGCTCACATTGCCATTTGTGGAATAAGTTTTGTGACACATGTCACATATGTATCTGATTTCACAGTGTGCCCACTGTTATGTCTTACTTGGGTTTGTTCCTTCGTAGTCAATTTTGAGTTGTTGTCCTCTGTTAAAGAATTAGTTCGCTCTCTCGAAAATACTACAGTACGCTATTGAAACTTATTATTATAGGAATTGAATTTTAACGCAATGAATTAAAATTATATTAATACTTTTATTTTTTAGATAAAACGTAGGTACACACAGTAATCGAGTATAAAGACTATTTGTACTATGCATTACTCGATGGCGACGGACGTCGTCTTACAAAAGTGCTTACCCATCTAAATTCTACGTTACCTATATTATATTACTATAAGAACAAGGGGTTCCTAACACCACCAATGAATTTTAAAAATATGATTTTTTGTTTAAAAGCTTTTGGTCTTTCCTTACATTTATCAATGACGCAAATGTAAGGCCTTATGTTTGAATGCCAAGTGCCAGCACATGTTGTGACACTTGAGATTTGATAAATCCCTGTGTCTTGTCTTGCAAATATCACACTGGAAAGATTTTTCACCAGCGTGAATCAATTTGTTCCATTTCAGATGGTGCAATGGTCTAAACTATTTTAATATTCTTGAAGAACAGTATAAAACAGAGTCATCCCACGATACTCAACCTTTATCCTGACTCATGGTCTGCTCAAAATAAAAGTAAATGTATAACTACATTAGATGAACTGCAAAGATACAATAATTCAATAAAATTAAACACATTTTTATTTATTATATTTGGGCAAAACATTATGTATATGTTTCTGCCTATTCACATTGCCATTTGTGGAATAAATAGAAAAAACATAGTGAAAAAAATATTGAAGTACAAAAATAGTGTCAAATAAATAGTCGAGAGCAAAAGATTCGAACAGTGTATAATGCTTGATCATTTTAAGTTAGTACTGGTAAAACAAATTAAACATTGACATTTTTTTTATATTTTTATTTAACACTGCTTACAGTTTTGCGACACTGGACACTAGTACTGAAAACTATAATTATTATTACGATACGTCTGATTTTATTATTAAAAGTGAAAAATTAATGAAATTAATATCACTATTAAATTATTATATTATTCCTAATGGAGTATGGAAGATTATTCAAAATTTAAATGATAATTTTATTTTTATAAATAACAAAACTCGTGTGTCCATAAAGAACTATGTACAATGTTAATGTTTGGCGACTTCACATCATTTAATTATGAGTAAATATTACAAACATAAAATACATTGATATACATAATTGTTTTTAATTGGTGTATATTTTCAGAAATCAAAATCCTGAAATTGGTTTTATGTTAAAAAATATTATCAATTCATTTGTCAGATGTGGCACAATGCATATCGTTTATAAATGTTTTATTTTCTTATATTCAACTGATATAAAAACGCATATAAGCAATAATGACTATATTTATTTTCAAATATTAAATTTTAAATTCAAGGAAATGATAAAAAGCTTAAAAAACCTTCAAAATATTTTAAGTTTCGATATTTATTTACTACCGTAAGTATTTTAGATTCTGAGTGAAACGATGAATGTATTGATTTTACAATGATGTGTGTTTTTTTATTTTTTTTTATTTTTTTTTTAATTTTTTATTTTTTTTTGTGTCTGTCATCACGTTTTAGGACAGTAAAAGTGCTTGGATTTTCTTCATCAGTAGCTTTTCTGATAGGAAAGTGAATCTAGTTGGTACTTTGGGGGGTCAAAAGTATAAATTTCCCAGTAGTTTTCACAAGCGCCGAAAAAAACAACATAAAAATTAAGGAAAAACGGGAATTTTTACGCAAAATTCGTTTTCCAAAAAATCGATTTTGGTTTTTGGTGTAACTCTGAAACAAATGAACGTATATACATGAAATTTTCACTGGTTGTTTATATTTGCATTTTCTATACACGAAAACATTTCCAAAATATTTTGATTTATTTTGAACTGTTTAGGGACATTTTCATTTTCCATTTTTTTTAGTTTTTTTCTAAAAATATCAATAAAATTTTATTTGTTGGTTGCGAAAGCTTGAAAATTTAATAGAAGGCTCCTAATATATTGTTTCAAAGGCAGATGAAAAATATTAAAAATCCTTAGTCACAATTTTTTTTTATAAGCATTTAAAATTCAAAAATTGACAAAATATGGGAAAATCACGAAAATTAGCAAATTATTTAGAGTTAAGAATTCGTAAAAATTTTTCTTTTTAAATCTAAGATTTGAAAATTAAACACAAGATTCCTTATAAGTTTGTCTACCTTTATCAAAAGAAAAATGTCTATAAGAAAGTCAAATTAAATTTTTATGAGCGTTTGAAATTCAAATTTTTACAACATTGAATATTCACTCGATTTCCCATGTAACGATTTCCTTATTTTGTTGTAATTCAAAAACAAATAACTGTAGATACATGAAAATTTCACTGAATGTTTATACTAGCATTTCCTATACACCATACAATTTTGAAAATATTTCGACTCTTTTTGAGCTGTTTATGGACCTTTACAGCTTTCAATTTTTTTTAGTTTTTTTTTCTATAAATATCAATAAAGTTTTATCTGTTGGGCCAAAAAGTGTAAAAATTTAATACAAGGCTCCTGATATATTGTTACAATATCAGTTGAAAAATATTAAAAATACATAATCACAGTTTTTTTTTATAAGCATTTAAAGATCAAATTTTGACAAAATTTATCAAAATCTCGAAAATTATCAATCATTGTAATTAATAAATTATAAAATGTTCAGTTTTTATAGCTAAGGATTGCAAATTCAACACAAAGGTTCCCGTAAATAGTTCAAACTGTAACCAAAAAATCTAAAAAATATATGAACACAGTTATTTTTTACAGACATTTTAAATTCAAATTTGGACGAAATTACATATATAAAACCTAGAATAACTATTTTAGTTATTTTGTTGTGATTGAATAATATTATTCGTGGATACTTGAAACTTCTAAAGTGTACTATTATATATCTATGATAGTATCACGGTTTTTGTTGATGTATAACGCGTTATAAGTACCTAATGGATATTTTGATATGATTAATTTGGAATTTATTATAGGTACCCATTATAGGTCAATTTTTTGTTTAATACCATAGATATGTATATAATACCTATGTCTTATACATAGACTGACATACCGTCTCCACTCAGAATCGTTTTTCTTATACAATGATATTATATCGTTGAATTCAAATTTAATATCATCCATTATACAGTAACCCCCTTGTAACCTACTGTACAGCAGAGCGACACCCACTTGCCCACCTTTTTTATTATTATTTGAGGTATATTCGGCATTTGAAAATTGATTTGACTATAATTCATACTACAGCAAACGCATTAGGTTTATTCAAATAATTATTATTTTTATTTTGTATCATATTTTAATACAGAAAACGTCTATAGAATACATTTTTTTTAATCAAGGACTTCATTTTATTTGATAACAATGTCATAATCATACTATTTAGTTGTGAGTATTGCTCTAGTCTTTTTTTTTCATTTTGTTTTACTCAAAGTAAAAATTTGCTACAAATTCAAATTGATGATGATAAAACGTATAAATATATAATTAACAATGAGTGGGATATTAAACAGTATGATATAATTGATATGTTTGTTATTGCCACGGTGAAAATGCAAAATGACCACACGTCACCAAATATACGATTTTCAACGGTAAACAGTGCTCCTAAAAAAAAAAATTGCAAAATATAGAAAACATATACTTAAGCTT